TTGTGTACAAGTTTTTAACATAGAGTTAGAAAATATAGACAGTAATTCTGTTTGACTGTTCTTTATACAGAGAGCAATTCTGTTTGAATTCTGTTTGTTCTTTATATTTTCTAACTTTTTGTTAAAAACTTTAATCTTCTTTCTTTGTACGTCTTTCTCTTGCTAAGCTCTTTGATCATCTTTTCAATCATTTCCCTGAATTCTTTCTCAGATAGCTTGCTTATCTCTGTCCCACTTAGTTCTTCCTCTGGGGTTTTACCTTATTCCTCTGCCACCTCATGTCATCTAAATTGCCATTTATATTTTTATGTATGTGGCATCTTAGTTACATTTCTCAACCTTGGATGAGTGGCCTTCTGTAGGAGACATCCTATGCATCCCAGCAGTGTATTCCCCTCTTGTCACTCAAGCTGTATGCTCTAGGGGTTCCCCCTATAAGCACTGCATGGGTTCTTCTGTTGTGGTGGGTTGACTATATGTGCAGTCTGGTAGGATTGGTTGGCTCCTAGCCTGGTTGGTTGCTAGATCTTGCCTGGTGAAGATGCTGCTGCCTGCTCTTTAGCAGAGCTGATCATGAGGTGGCTGATTGTGGAATCCTAGGGGGTCCTGGGCTAAGTGCTGGCTCACTTTGGGGCATAGTCAGGGTCCTGAAGACTCTGAGGCTGTTGCCCACCTACTGGCAACTGGTGAAGCCAGGTCCTGTAGATAGTGCCAGTTAGTTAGAACCAACAGGCAATTGGTTCCTGGAGTCTGGCTGCAGGGCCCAGGGATCCCAGGGCTCGTTTCAGATGGTTCATAGAGTGGGGGTGGGGGGATGGTTTCTGCCACATTGGTGTATGGGGTTTGCAGTGTCCCAAAGGTTGTGTTGGCATGTCAGTGGGCAAGGCCATGGTCCAGCTGGTCCCAGGGTAGAGTCTGGCCTTTCTTATGGGGTCATAGCTTTCTTGCTTCTCATGCCTGCCCCTTGGTGGGTGAGGCTGGTCTAGAATCTTGTGCTGGCTTACTTGTGTGAGGTGCTGGTGCTTTCCCACTGGTGGAGCTGGATCTTGACCCTCAGGTGGGCAAGGCCAGGTCTAAGGGCATGTCTAGAGGTAGCTATGGGCTCTTTGGTCTTCAGGCAGCCTGTCTGCTGATGGGTGGGGCTGTGTCCCTGCCTAGTTAATTGGTTAGTTTGAAGCATCCCAGCACTGGTACTTGCCAGCTGTCGGGTGGGCCAGGTCTTGGTGTTAGAGCCAGTATGTCAGTAACCAGGAGTGTTTACATGGTTGAATGTTCCAAAATATGTCTGCTATCAGTGTCTTAGTCCCCAGGGTACGCTGTAGCTGCACACCCCTCCCCCACCTTTCCAAGAGACTCTCTAAGACCGGGTATGTTGGCCCAGGTGCCTATTGAATTACTTCTTTTGCCCTGGGTCCCAGTATGTGTGAGGTTTTGTGTACACCCTTTAAAAGTGAAATCTATTTCCCCAAGTCCTGTGTTCAGTTCAGTTCAGTTCAGTCACTCAGTCATGTCTGACTCTTTGTGATCCCATGGACTGCAGCACACCAGGCTTCCCTGTCCATCACCAACTCCTGGAGCCTACTCAAACTCATGTCCATTGCATTGGTCTTGCCATAAAACCATCTCATCCTCTGTCATCCCCTTCTCCTCCTGCCTTCAATCTTTCCCAGCATCAGGGTCTTTTCCAATAAGTCAGTTCTTCGCATCAGGTGGCAAAAGTACTGGAGTTTCAGCTTCAGCATCGGTCCTTCCAATGAATACTCAGGACTTATTTCCTTTAGGATGGACTGGTTTGATCTCCTTGCAGTCCAAGGGAGTGCAGTCCAAGAGAGACAACCTGTAGACAAATCCTATCACCATAGAACTGGAGACTTCGAGCCGCATGGAGAGCAGTCCTGGTTCCCTTACCTTCCTGCTCCTGCCTGGGTACCACTTCCTAACAAAGTCTCTTGCTTTGTCAGCACATGCTCAGTTACTTCAGTCGTGTCTGACTTTGCGACCCTATGGACTGTAGCCCACCAGGCTCTTCTGTCCAGGGGGATTCTCCAGGCAAGAATACTGGAGTGGATTGCCATGCCCTCCTCTAGGCTATCTTCCTGACCCAGGGATCGAACCCACATCTCTTAAGTCTCCTGCATTGGCAGATGTGTTCTTTCCCACTAGGGCCACCTGAGAAGCCCATGGTGATGGGATTAGTATCCAGGTTGTTTCTGGTCAATCATTCTGACTCAGGGTCCATCCTGCTGGCGCTTGTATTGTTCAGCCAAAATGGATTCCAGTGAGGATTCTGGGAGATGGTAGACATGTGGTATTTCCTTTTGACCTTTTCCAAATTCTTCCAGTTGGTGATGGCTTGTTAGTTCTTGCTTTGGTAAGAACTGGTGCTTTGGCAGCCATATCTCCTCAAACAATTCATTTCTGAGCGTTAGACAAGAACCCACTCTCAGGTGGAAGGATTTCCCCTTCCTGCAACAGTTCCATCTTTATATCTTTAGTGTAGAAGAGTTTTTCTTCTAGATTCCAGTCTTTGTTTTAAAAGAAAGCCAGGGAGGGAGTCCCGGCAGAAGGGGTTTGGAAAAGCCACTGAAGCAGAAGAAAGCCTGTGAGTGGGAGGCAGTTGGTATCACACAGGCCACGTGTTCTCCATCATAGGATAAGATAAGTCCTTACAACTCTTCAATTCTATTCTTACGTGTCAATAGCTCAAGTAAATGGCATAGCAAATTGTCACTCAAGAGGCCTGCATGTACTCTCAGCATGACTTGTTGGTGTTGTTGAGTTGCTAAGTTGTGTTTGCCGCCTAATGAACTGTAGCCCTCTCTAAGCCAGGCTTCAGCAATACATGAACTTCTAGATGTTCAAGCTGGTTTTAGAAAAGGCAGAGGAACAAGAGATCAAATTGCCAACATCCACTGGATCATCGAAAAAGCAAGAGAGTTCCAGAAAAACATCTATTTCTGCTTTACTGACTATGCCAAAGCCTTTGACTGTGTGGATCACAATAAACTGTGGAAAATTCTGAAAGAGATGGGGATACCACACCACCTGACCTGCCTCTTGAGAAACGTGTATGCAGTTCAGGAATCGACAGTTAGAATTGGACATGGAACAACAGACTGGTTCCAAATAGGAAAAGGAGTATGTAAAAGTTGTATTTGTCACCCTGTTTATTTAACTTCTATGCAGAGTACATCATGAGAAATGCTGGGCTGGAGGAAGCACAAGCTGGAATCAAGATTGCCAGGAAAAATATCAATAACCTCAGATATGCAGATGACACCACACTTACGGCAGAAAGTGAAGAAGAACTAAAGAGCCTCTTGATGAAGTGAAAGAGGAGAGTGAAAAAGTTGGCTTAAAGCTTAACATTCAGAAAACTAAGATCATGGCATCTGGTCCCATCACTTCATGGCAAATAGAAGGGGAGACAGTGGAAACAGTGTCAGACTTTATTTTTCTGGGCTCCAAAATCACGCAGATGGTGATTACAGCCATGAAATTAAAAGACACTGACTCCTTGGAAGGAAAGTTATGACCAACCTAGATAGCATATTAAAAAGAAGAGACATTACTTTGCCAACAAAGGTCCGTTTAGTCAAGGCTATGGTTTTTACAATAGTCATGTATGGATGTGAGAGTTGGACTATAAAGAAAGCTGAGCGCTGAAGAATTGATGCTTTTGAACTGTGGTGTTGGATAAGACCCTTGAGAGTCCCTTGGGCTGCAAGGAGATCCAACCAGTCCATCCTAAAGGAGATCAGTCCTGGGTGTTCATTGGAAGGACTAATGTTGAAGCTGAAATTCCAATACTTTCGCCACCTGATGCGAAGAGCTGACTCATTTGAAAAGACCCTGATGCTGCACAAGGTTGAGGGCAGGAGGAGAAGCGGACGACAGAGGATGAGATGGTTGGATGGCATCACCAACTCGATGGACATGGGTTTAGGTGAACTCTGGGAGTTGGTGATGGACAGGGAGGCCTGGCGTGCTGCGATTCATGGATCGCAAACAGTTGGACATGACTGAGCGACTGAACTGAACTGAACTGAACTGTAGAGCTCCAGGCTCTTCTGTCCATGGGTTTTCCCAGGCAAGAACACTGGAGTGGTTTCCCATTTCCTTCTCTGGGGATCTTCCCATCCCAGGGATCAAACCCTGCACTGACAGGCAGATACTTTACCACTGCCATACTGGGAAGCCCCTCTAGTGTGACTGATAGCCATCAAATGGATGGCGAGATCAGCCAATGACTTTCTTCACTCTTGGCCTCAATTTATTCATTTTTGGTCATTGTTTTGTTTTGCAGTTTATGTTTTTAAATTGAAGAGGTTTCTTTTGTCTCAGACATCCTCTCAAAATGCCCTTCTTCTCTAATATCCCCATCCCTTCTGAGCCAAGCCTGTGCAGGACCAGCAGGACTCTGCACCCTCTGCCTAGCAGGAGGGGCGTCTCTGAGTCTGAGTGGCTTGCTGGTATCTGGGGTGAGCTCTATGAGCCCCAGCCCACTCCCACCCTTGCTATGTTGGCTCTATCTGTTAGCTGGATGCCACCTTGTACTTCTCTGCCTTCACTGAAAAGACAGTTTGTCCCACAACTCTGAACCGGTAGCTTACTTTTAGTGACCACCTGGATCTGGAGTTGAGCCAGCCCTGGCCCCCTCCTCATGAAACGTTAAGGTGAATCACTCTGAATGTGCACATTTGCAAATGGCACAGAGAGAAGGAATCTTCTGGGTTCCTGCCCTATCCAGGCTGATTTCTTTGCTTCAAGCCCTGCTCTCTCCAGCTCATTATTGATCAGTTTTTTTCCCCCACCTTGCAACCATTCCCCAGTTGCTGCTGGGCGATTTACTGAGTGACACCTGTATCCTGGCTCCTTGTTCCTCTGAAGAATGAGGTTTTGGTGAACAAACAACAATTGTAACTTGTTTCCTTCAGTCCTGTGGGACTCGAGGTTATTTGAGTTTCGAGGTGCACAAAGACTTTATAAACACCCTGGATTTATAGCCACGATTGGCTGCGCTTGCTCTGTTGCCTCATAGCACGTGAGGTGTAATGGCCTGATTCGGGATTGGGCAGAGGAACCTGGGCTGCCTTGCTCCGGACACCTGTATGAGACAAAGTTCAGCTGGAGAGAGTGGCAGTTACTCATCCCCCGGGCTCAGCATTCAGTGACTTCACTACCTGGAAACAGGCTCCAAAGCTCCGGCCAAAGCACAGGGTAGGAGACTGATAGATATTTCAGGCACTGCCGAAACTGCCAGCAAAAACAGAGGGAAGCAAGGGAAGCAAATGTTTTCTATATGCCTACCTTTGAATTGAGTTTCAGTGTCACAATATCCTAGTAAAGCCACGTGCATCCTGCTTTTATTGAGGAGAAGGAAACTGAGGCCAGGGGAATGAAGACACACAGCTGGGATATGTTCACCTGGCTCAGAGATCACCTCTTAGAGGGTAGGTCTTGAAGCATCGACTGACGTGAGACCACACAGCCTGCCCAGCCAGCCAGTCTGGACTCTGAAGGCCATCAATCTGATTCTTGGATTCTGATTGCAAGTCTGTGCGTGCTAAGTCGCTTCGCTTCAGTCATGTCCAACTCTTTGCAACCCTATGGACTGTAGCCCTCCAGGCTCCTCTGTCCATAGGATTCTCCAGGCAGGAATACTGGAGTGGGTTGCCATGCCCTCCTCCAGGGGATCTTCCTGACCCAGGAATCCAACCTGTGTCTCTTATGTCTCCTGCATTGGCAGGAGGGTTCTTTACCACTAGTGCCACCTGTGTAAATTGGAGCAATTAGGCATCCTGAGAATCTGGCCAAGTGGAAAGTGGGGAGATGAAAGGTCACAGGAGCTGGTTGGGGAGTCTTGCCAGGTTGCTTAGCACTAGTGACCCCCCGCAGGAATGCAGGGCTGGCTTCTTTAGCAAACCCAGAGAGACTTGCTCTTTCCTCTTCACATCAAAAAGAGGCAGTAGAGAGCAGTAACTTCTAGTTTTCTTGCCCTAGAAAAGCCTCCTTTTGTTCTACTTGGTTTTTTGAGGCGAGCATGTTCATTCACTTCCCTGAGCCTTAGTTTCTCCATCTAATTGGGGATGACAAGCCCCACCCCACAAAAATTCCTCCCATGGTTTTTCAGAAGGTATTAAGGTTGTGGATTTAAATCACTTTGTCAATCAAGTATGGACCCACCTATTTGAGTTTTAATGTCTTCTCAACTTTGTCTTTTATGCAAATTTCCTTTAAATCCTTTCCAGAAGTAGGGGGGTTATTATGAAAAGACAAATACAAATAAAAGACATGATTGCTATAAAATTTTACCTGACTGTTGTTCTGAGAAAATACGTTTTTTAAAATCTTGAAATTATCAATAATTTTTGGACACATAGATTATGAGTGATACTCATTCACTTGAGAAACACCTAACGGTATCTTCTATGTGCAAGGATACAATCCCTGCCCTCGTGGAGCTTACATTCAAGTGGGAGATATTGGCCTTGACCTCCTGAGTTTAAACACATGGGCTTGAGTGCACCATTAAACTATTCAATTTTAATCATGATAAATGCTAAAAAGAAGGACCGACTATCCCAAGAACGTAGCGTAGGGAGACCTAGCCCACATTTGGAGGGTTAGGAAGAGTGAAGTTTGAAATGAAATCTGAAAAGTATTTGGGATTGGTAGGTGAAGTGGAAAAGGAATAATAATTCCAGGCTTTGGCAATAGCAGTTGCAAAGGCCCTGAGGTGTGAGAGTAAAAAGGAAGGTCAGTGTACCCGTACCACCAGGAGCACTTCTGTCTTAACAAAGACTGAAATATTCAGGACTTTTCTATGAGGAAAAATAACCACTGAGATTATTGGGTAGATTGTAGGTATAGAATTTTATTTTTTAGCACTGTTGTAGATCAAAATCAACCTGGTCAGTTTTAGGATTATAAAAATGTATTTAGTATAATTTTCTACTCTTATATGATGATAGTATTTCACATAAGAATAATGACACAGAGGAAAAATTTTATTTGGGGGAGCAATGTTTTAAGGACTACCACCTCAAAGCTGAGTTTTCCTCTTTAATTTCCCATTCTGCCCCTCCTGACCTTGATATCATCAATGGCTCCACATTGCTTCATGACTGGTTTATTTTTCAAGACTTGTTTTTATCACTCTCTCTCTTTCATTGCTCTCTGTTCTCCAGAGTCAGACTCCTCCCTGTTCTTGCCAAACCCTGTCCCTCACTGTTTCCACACCTCAGCTTTGACCAACTCATTTCTTTGCTTACTTTGTTTTTTTCTTCCCTTCTGAATAAAATCGCAGCTATCATCCAGGCCCAGGTGAAGTGCTACCTCCACCTTGAATCCAAAGCAGAACAGATGCCGGGCCATGACGTTCTGAAGCACACTCCTCGCGGCCATCCTCTACCAGGAGCATGCGCTCTGCCTCCCGTCAGGTCATTTCTGTCCCAGGCCTGTCTCTCAGGAGACTGTGAGCTCTTTCAGGATGCAGACTGCCTTCACTTAATCTCTACATCCTCCTTCAGGATAGTTCAGTGTAGAGCATACTGCGGTGCAGGACACATTAACCGATGCTTCATCCCAGTTGAATTTAATAGTTGACCAAGAGAGTTTCCTCTAAAGCTTGAAGGTTGATAAGGAATTTTTGCCAAGGGATGTTTTTAACTTAAGAGTAAGGTTTCTCAATTTTATTTTTAATATTGGGTTGGTCGCATCTTTGTGTCTATAATAGGGTTTGTTAACAGAAATTAAGCTAAATGTATATAATAGAATACTATGCCACCATTAAACATGGTGTAGAAGCATGTGCTAAGTCACGTCAGTTGTGTCCAACTCTGTGTGACCCCAGGGACTGTAGCCCATCAGGCTCCGTTGTCCAGGCAAGAATACTGGAATGGGTTGCCATGCCCTCCTCCAGGGGATCTTCCTGACCCAAGGATCGAACCTGCATCTCTTATGTCTTCTGCATTGCCAGGCAGGTTCTTTACCACTAGTGCCAACTGGGAAGCCCCAGGTTGAAGCATACGTACTGAAAAAGATGTTTGTAATATATTGACAAGTGAAAAAAAAGGTTCTAAGAGCATATGTGTGTTGTGTCCCTCTTACTGCTGAAATTCAGCTGGGGGAGCAACTTGGGGCAGTGACCTGTGAGGAGCAGCAACAAGGTGATGTGGGTGTAGGCAGTGGCAGGCACTGACAAACGTGTGAACTAGCTTGGGAGCCTGTGTGGGACACTCTTGAAGATGTCCAGGGATACTGAGCGGGGAGGAACCTTGGAAAGAAGTCCAGAGGCCTGCTGACAGGCAGGTATAAGCTATCAAGTCAGCAGGGTGACTATTCATCTACCTGAGTTGACCCCCCCACACCTGGTAAGACATGGAGGATATTTGGGTTACATTTACTTGATAAATTATATCTGCACAAAGAAAAGCCTAGAAAAATAGACTTCAAGGTTAACAATGGCTGTGTCTGAGTAGATGGATAAGTGCTTTTTCTTTTCTTCATTTTGGTATCTGTATATTTCCTGATTTTCCTGAAAGAAACATGTGTTGCCTTTATTAAAAAGGAAAAAAACCCAATAAAAGTTGTTTTGAAAAAAAATCAAATTACAAAACACACGTTGCCTGGGGACATGCTTAGGAGCAGAGCCATTTTAAACTAAGCAGTGGCCAAAGTACAAACTGTTACAGCGATGGCCACTGATGATCGCCTCTCTCGTTCCCCTTGGTCAGAGAACTTAGCGTGAGTTCAGTCCCCTGCAGTGTGCTTGCATGATGCCAGGACCACGTGTGCACCGTCCATCAGCTGAACACACTATCTTTCTGCACAGTCCTATCAGCGTCCACTTCGTGGGCTCCTTCCAGAAGAAACTACTGTTGCCATTCTCTCTCTAGTTGACTCCTCCTGTTTCCTGAACCTTGCTGACCAGAAGAGGGAGTAGTGAGGGTGGGAGGGGCCAGTGTAAGTCATGTGGCCAAGGTTCCAGCATTTGATGTGCAGTGGTGAGGCCTGGGTAGCCAAATGCTTGAGAAGTCACTGTTTTCAGCATCATCCTCAGCAGATCATCACTCATCCTTGGCTCTTGATTTTCAATCCCTTTATTTCCTGTTGGAGTTCAAGGCCTTCTTTGGGTGGCAGCTTGTTTGGCAAGAGTCCTGGTAGCCTGCCAAGTTCCTGCAGCCTGGTCTAGCCTGGATCATCTTCCTGGTACCCTCTGACCACTGGGTGACCACATCTCCTGGAAGCTGATGCTACCATGTGTCCGACTCATGGTCCCTGGGTTTTTATTACTGTGCTTGGGCCACTAGATTGGACCCTGAGCATCCTGACACCTGCTGGATTTGCATTTGACTTTACCACACCAGAAGCAAGGTTGAGTGGAGAGGACACTCAGTCTTGAGCCAGAAAGCCCGACAGGATCCGTTCCCAGCTTCTCTCCATGAGCTTACCTGGCCCCCCTTCTCTCATTTCCTATGCTTGAACAATGTTGGCCCTCTTTTTGTTTCTTGAACCCGATAAGCTTATTTCTAACCCAGGGCTTCTGCATTCACTTGCTGTTCTCTCTCCCTGGGTCTCTTCATCTGGTGATTCTTTTCCATCACTGGGTCTCAGTTCAAAGTCACTCTCACTGAGAGGCCTTCCCTGCTCACTGCCAAGGTAGCCCCTCCAGGCTTTCTCTCTTCCAGGGGTTGGCAATTTTGCTCAGGACTATATAGTGAATGTTTTAGGCTTTATGGGGCATGTGCCATCTCTGTTTCCTGTTCTCCTTTGCTTTCTTTATAACCCTTAAAAATCTCAAAGCCATTCTTAGCTAGCAGTTTGATGTAAACACAGACCATAGGTGAGACTGGGGCCCTGGGCTATATTTTGATAATCCCTGTTACAACTGATCACCATATGGACTTATCTTGCTCATTTATGAAGCTGGTATTGTTGGTCTCTCCCGAAAGAGGGTAGGAAATATGTCTGACTTGTATCTCTGGTGTCTGGCACAGGACCTGGCATATTGTAGGCCCTCTATACACTTTTGTTGGGAGAATGAATGAATGAATGAATGAATATTTTTAAGAGGATGATGAACTTGGGTCTGAATCTGTGTCTGCCTTCTTGCTGTTGTTCAGTCGTTAAGTTGTGTCTGACTTTTTGAAATGCCATGGACTACAACATGCCAGACTTTCCTGTCCTTCACTATCTCCTGGAGTTTGCTCAGATTCACGTCCTTTGAGTAAGTGATGCTATCTAATTATCTCATTCTCTGCCACCCTCTTCTTCTTTTGCCTTGAATCTTTCCCAGGATCAGGGACTTTTTCAATGAATCAGCTGTTCGCATCAGATAACCAAAATATTGGAGTTTCAACTTCAGCATCAGTCCTTCCAATGAATATTCAGGATTGATTTCCTTTAGAATTGACTGGTTTGATATCCTTGCTGTCCAAGGGACTCTCAAGCATCTTCTCCAGCACCACAATTCAAAGCATCGATTCTTCAGTGCTCAGCCTTCTTTATGGTCCAACTCTCACATCTGTCCATGGCTACTTTAAAAACCAAAGCTTTGACTACACAGACCTTTGTCTGACTTTTAGTAGCTTAATTTGATGTTCTAATTTTAATCTTGTTAAAAGGACAGTAATGAAAGCTGCCTTGCTGCGTTGTTGGGGTGATGAGTTGTGTATGCACGTGCTCAGTTGTATCTGAGTCTTTGCAACCCCCTGGACTGTAACCTGCCAGGCTCCTCTGTCCATGGGATTTTACAGGCAAGAATACTGGAGTGGGTTGCCATTTCCTTCTCTAGGGGATCTTTGTGACCCAGGAATTGAACCCACATCTTCTGTGTCCCCTGCATTGGCAGGCAGGTTCTTTACCAAGGTGCTACCTGGGAAGCCCCAGAGGACACCAGCAGAGCACCCAGCCAGGATCAGCTCTCAGTCAGCAGCAGTTCCCTTCTGCTTAGCCCCTTGGGCAGGCTTCCAGCAGAGAGAGCATCTCCCACCCAGTCTGCAGCCTGCCTTTTCCCCACTCCCTCATCCTCCCCTCAGACCTCCCTTACCCAGGCCCCAGTGGCCCTTGTGGCATGGCTCTCCAAGCATGACACATCTCTTGGAGCAGCAGAGTGTTTACAGCAGAAAGAGCTGCACGAAGCTGGGATGAAGGCCACTGGGATGATTGATGGAACCTGGGGGTACAGAGCTATCCCTGTGGGTGTGCTGATCCCTTTGGATTTAGAGGATGGCCCCAACCCCTCCGATTCCCTGGCCAGGCCTGGCTCTGGTTCTGTCATTCCCTGGATTCTTAGAAGAGAGATGGGAGGAGACCTCATAGCCAATGCAGAGCTTCTGACCACCTCCCTGTGGAGCTTTTTGCCTTTTCAGCTCCAAGCAACTGGCAGGAGATCCTTGAAGTGTATGTACTGCCCAGCTGCAGCCACCTAGAGGTCTTGGAGGAACCCCACAATCCTGGAATGTCAAGCCAGAAGGGAGCTGCAAGAACCTTTGAGAAGCCTTCAAGTGGCTGCATCTATCGTCGCACCATCCAACCTTGTTCATTCTCCTATGGGTCTGGCCCCTCTGTAGCTGTGATGGTTCCTCTATCCATCTTCTTCTGACTGCCAGAGTCCCCTCTAAGTCTAACCAGGCCAGACCCTGCTTTTAAGCCCCACATCTTGATGGATCCCCACTGCCACTGGACAAAGTCTAAATCCTTAGCCTGTTCTCAGATGCTGTCCACAGTCTGGGGCCCATCTACCTTTCCCTCCCACCTGTCACTCACCTCCCCGCGCTGTTCCCCTTCCCTGGGCTCCTCCTGTTATAGCCTTTCTGCTTGGTAATATCAAATGCCACCTCTTCTGGGTTATCCTTTCCTCCCCAGGATCTCCCAGCCTCTCACTAGACATCTGCTGCTGCTGCTGCTAAGTCGCTTCAGTCATGTCCAACTCTGTGTGACCCCATAGACGGCAGCCCACTAGGCTCCTCTGTCCCTGGGATTCTCCAGGCAAGAACACTGGAGTGGGTTGCCATTTCCTTCTCCAATGCATGAAAGTGAAAACTGAAAGTGAAGTCACTCAGTCGTGTCCGACTCTTCATGACCCCATGGACTATAGCCTACCAGGCTCCTCCATTCATGGGATTCTCCAGGCAAGAGTACTGGAGTGGGGTGCCATTGCCTTCTCCCCACCAGGCATCTAGGGTCACTCAATTGTAGCCCTAATTCACAGTATGAATGACTAACAGGCATCAGCTGTTTACACATGCTGGTCTTCCCACCACCCTCTGAGCTTTAAGGACTAACTTGGCTGCTCACAACCACCCTGCAAGGCGGGTGTTTATCTTACTTCTATATAGGTAAGACAAGTGAGGGACTAGGCTGTGAAGTCGTTGCCCCAAGTCACACGCTCATGAATGGTA